TCAATGTTCCTTAAATTGTACTGATTGTTAATTAATTTTGGCAAAACCCTGCGACAGGGATGGTGTGGATCGTTCATAAACCTATCAACTTCTCGACTAGTTGCCTCTTCCCTTCTTTCGTTCAACGGTGGTAGGTAATCTTTTTCCAGGCCAAGGATTCTTAAGCTCCTGGATTGAACCCGCTCTATTTCATCTCGCAGGTAATTAGGGAGTCCCGCCCAGACAGGTGATGCATACTCGAGGATTGGTCTTATTTTGGATTGATAGGTAATAATACCGACTTCAGCTGGTAACTGCGATTTCCTGCATTCTCTAAGATGGTAAAGGCGTTTATTTGCTTTACGTGTAATCTCTTCAACATGTGCGTTCCATTTTAGATTATTTTGGAACGACACGCCAAGTAATTTAAAAGCGTTGACCCTTTCTATTAACTCATTTCCAATACGAAGACGTGGTGGTTCAGGTATAGCGTCCGTGAACGAGATCCACATGTCCTTAGTTTTTTTAGCATTAATTGCCATTTTATTTAACACCGCCCAGTTATTTACTTCATTGATAGATTGTTGTAAATTACTATTAGAATCTACGCTCACTATTTGGTGTTGTGTGCAGTCATCTGCATACTTATTCGTACTGACTTTTCGTTGTTCTGGTAAGGCGTCCTCCAAATCATCAATGTAGGTATTAAAAAGAATGGGAGATATTACAGAGCCTTGCGGGACTCCGGCCGGGCATGTTGCAATGGATGATAAGGTGCCATTGAGATTTACTTGTTGAACTCTTCCGGAAAGGAAACTTTTAATCCATAACCAGAAGGGTTTATTTATGTTCATAGCTGCTAATTTGTTCAAAAGAATATTGTGATCCACAAGGTCGAAGGCCTTACGAAAGTCAATGAAGGCCGCATGAACCCCCATTTTGCCTGTTTTTTAACAATCAGTGGCATTAAACCAGGTTTGGGTAGTTGATATTAACGCAGAGACTGTGCTTCGATGTTGAGTAAACGCGTGCTGGTTATTCTTAATTTTCAGGTCTTCAATATTTAACTGGAGCTGGATCTTTTCCAGGATCTTGGCAAGATGGGGTAAGACTGATATCTGGCGGAAATCATTGTTAATGTCTCTCGGCGGTTGCACTTTAGGAACAGGGGAAATTAGGGCATGTTTGTAGAGTGATGGATAACAACATTGACTTATACTACAGCACACAATGTCATAAACCACAGGAGCTAGGTCTTCGTGGTATTGTTTGAGCATCCATGCAGGAACCTTATCGATGCCAGTTGCTTTTCTTGGATTAAGATGTTTTAAGACCGCTTTAACTTGGCCAATAGAAGGAAGGGGTGGTTTGTTATTCTTATGTGGGTGGTTCACTTCAGGTATTTCAAAGGCGACATTCGTGTAACGGTCCGACCATGGTTTAGTGAAGGCTTTCTGAAGTTTTTCAGCTAAGTCGGATAAGTCTAGGTTTTCGGGCCCGTGTGGAAATTGGGTGTGGGTTGTGTTTTCGGCATTTACTAAAGAGTAGATACAGTTATACCACTTCGATTGATTCGAGGTACGAAATTCTGAGGCCTTGGACCGATAGTAGGTGGCTTTAGCTTTAGCTATAAGATTTGCCACTTTCATGCAATATAATATACATAGCAATGATGGAATTTCACAAACGAACGAGAGCGTAAACCTGAGGAGGATATTCAAGTCTTCGCGTACAATTTGGAGTCATTACTAAGACGCGCAATGCCTAAACTGGGTGCAAACGAACGTTATATTCTGCTGAAACAACAATTTATCGAAGGGATAAATCCTGCGTTAAAGAAAGAACTTTTACAGCAGCCGGAAATTACCTATGGCGAAACGGTGTCAGCGGCACAACAGCTAGATTTGGCCATTAAATTTTCGGCAAACGACAGCGAAATTCATATCAACCAAACCACCACAAGCTCGACCACAAATAGATATCAACCTGAATCCGGCGCAGTCAACTATTATCACCCAGATGATGGCAAATAGGGAAATTTTGACCGAAAAAGTTAACCAGCTGTCAGACAACATGACCAGAGTAAACGCGGTTGCATCACGAATTCCCCCACAGCCACGACTCAGGGCATGTTTCCGTTGCGGCAACCAAGGCCACATTGCTCGAGAATGTCGGAATCCGGCTCGTACCACAACAGAGCATCGACAGCGCGAGACGGAAAATTATTGTTTCGTTTGCGGGCAAATGGGACATTTTGCTCGTCAATGCCCCCAATAGATTCCAGTCCCCAGAAGCGCGTCAACAGGGAAACTACAACGGGTCGACGCCGACCCGCTATTAGGCCGCGAGTCTACCCGCAATGATATGGCCTTACCAATACATTGTATCCAACCGACCGGAGTTTTTATCGAAGCACGTATTGAGGGACGTGAGCAAAAATGTTTGGTAGATGAAGGAGCGTCCGTATCTTTAGTAAGTCGTCAATTGGTCCCTGGTCCTTTGACACCATGTTCTCTGAAAGCACGAGGAATCGGCGGTGAAGAACTTCAAGTTCTTGGTCAAGCAAAACTACAGTTCCAGTTGGGTAAGGACACATTTGTTCATTCGTTTGTTGCGGTTGGCATGACTAATACTTGTATTTTGGGTGCTGACTTTTTAAAAGCTAGCAAAATGTTGTCCTGGCCGGGTGGTAACGTACCACTAGTTGTAGAGCTTACAACCCCATCAGTCAATAAGTTGAGTGTCTTATTGGAGAATTATGCGGATGTGTTTGTAAACGGTCCGAATGATCCGTTGGGTTGTACTCGAGACACGGAACATTTGATTGACATGGGAGACAGTCTACCAATCAAGCAACGCCCCTATCGAATCCCTGTACACCTCCAAACCGTGGTTAATCAACAAGTTGCTGAAATGCTAGAGCGAGGTCTCATTAGATCAAGCACTAGTCCCTGGTCATCACCAATTGTGTTAGCGTCGAAAAAGGATGGAAATTATCGGTTTTGTGTAGATTTTTGTCGGGTAAATTCGGTGACGAAGAAGGACGCGCAACCAATGCCACAAAGCGATGACATTCTCGATCAGTTGGGCGGAGCAAGATGCTTTAGTACACTTGATCTTGCATCTGGCTATTGGCAGGTTCCGTTACGAGAGGAAGACAGGGAGAAAACAGCGTTCTCGGTTGGGGTGAACCATTACGAGTTTACAGTCATGCCTTTTGGTCTGACCAACGCTCCTGCCACTTTCCAACGTATGATGAGCACCATCCTTAAGCGAGTGAAAGGATATCTAGTTTTCTTGGATGACATCATCATATTTGCTGATACGTGGGAGGAACATCACCTTATTCTCGAGGAAGTCCTTGGACGTATTCGGGCAGCTGGTCTGAACTCAAAAGGGAGAAGTGCCAGTTTGGGAAATCATCGGTAAAGTTTCTTGGTCATGTCGTGTCTGCTCAAGGTACGGAGCCTGATCCCGAGAAGGTGAAAGCAGTGCAAGATTTTCCACCCCCAACCTCAGCAAGTTCGGTGCTTTTTAGGCATGGCGTCTTACTACCGGCGCTTTGTCAACAATTCATGACCTCACAAAAGGTCAACCGGAATTCTGCTGGTCACCTCAGGCTGACAAGGCTTTCACCACTTTGAAGTATCATCTTTGCTCTTCACCAGTCCTCGCCTTGCCAAACTTTTCTATACCTTTTACCATCTACACGGATGCCAGCGATGTGGACCTGGGCGCGGTATTAGCCCAACGCATTGGCAGTCGAGAACATGTTATTGCCTATGCCAGTCGCGCTTTAACATCCGCAGAAAAAAACTATTCAACTACTGAGAAGGAATTAGCGTTTGTTGATCAAGTGATTACTCGCCACGGAATCCCCAGATAGGATCTTGACTGACCAGGGGAGAAATTTCGAGTCTGACCTGATGAAGAAAGTAATGCAGCTCCTTGGTGTAAAGAAATTGCGGACCTCGCCGTACCATCCCCAAACCGACGGACAAGTAGAGCGATTTAATCGCACCTTAAAGGGGATCCTGACATCGTATGTTAACGACGACCACAACGATTGGGACATTCATCTACAACTAGCGTTGCTCGCCTATCGGACGAGCATACACAGATCATCGGGCGTTTCACCTTTTAAAACTGTTTATGGTCGTGAAGCTGTCTCTCCATTAACGCTGATTGATGGAGAAAATATGTCAACCAGAGGCTTATCAGGAAACTATTGTGACGAGCTCGAGCAGACCTTACGTAAGGTGCACAAACATGTTGCGAATAACATCAGCCTAGCCCAGAAGAGACAAAAGGAAGACTATGACAGAGCGACTAAAGTCGAGAGCACACAGCTTAAGCCAGGAGATCGGGTGTGGCTAAATAGTAAAGCGATACCGAAGGGGAAAAGTCGTAAGTTTCACCAAGAGTGGACAGGACCGTACGAGGTACTTCGCCAACTGGGTCGCGTCAATTACCACATTAAGCCGGAAGTGGGAAAAGCAAAGACGAAAGTGGTACATCAGAACCGTTTGAAGAGGTTAGAGAGTCGTTCGAATTCAGAACTACCCAAGATCAATGAGCTCAATGAGCCGGTGATAACTCATCATGAGGAAGAACAGTTAACTGTACCGCAAGAGACACCAACTACTGTTAGAGGGCTGCGCCGTTCGACCCGTGTACGTCGACAGCCGGATCGGTATCAAGACTTTACTTTAGAAGATGTCGAGATCGAGGACGCTCTCTTTTAAAGGAGGGAGTAGTGTAGTATATAGACCTCTGACCTTTCGTGATGATTGTTAAGTTTGTTGACAAGTTATGGTAACACTACACGGTAACATTATAT